TTGGAGAATATGCGAATGATATATAAACCAACAAATTTCCAAGCAAATAAAAAAAATACAAAATATGACCTGTACCTAGAAAAATAAGATTGATTGCTACAGAAATTATTACTACCATTAGTATTTTCTATAAGTTATAAGCTTATTTTCATAATCTACCTTATCTAAAGAGAAATACCATCATTAAAACTTTAATTCACATTGAGGAAATATTTGTTAAATATAGTGAAATTTCACAAAATATATCAAAGATGAGAATAATGGTCTTTGAGAAATATATTTTGAGGAAAACTGGAGCGGAGAGCACAGATTGTGAAAGGAAGGAACTTGTATGTCCAGTGAAGTGGGGTGTAGTTGGCTGAGGAGGCATTCTGGGAAGTTGGGAACCTGAAATAGAAGGGGGCAGAGTGGAATGCAACTTCCTGGGAACTTGTACCACTGAGAACTTGAAACTGATTCCATCCATGGGAGAGTAGAGAAAGGATACTTCTCGGCATAGGAAAGGGGATATATCTGAATAAGAAATGAGTTAGAGAAAGGTCTGTCATCAAGACAGAACAAATCAATACAATAGCCATCAAAAGTTCTAGAAGTAGAGGATCATCTCTAGGGTGATCAAGAGCCTGAGCTAAATGTCTTCTCTTAACTCAAGTTTGGACTCCTAGTGCGATCCTGGGAAAATTCTTCATTGCAGGGCATTAGTTTCCTCCTCTGAAAGTGGAAATAATAACAGGATCCCATCATACAGGGTTATTGGGCAGATAAAATAAGTGTCCCACAGGTAATAAATGCTCAACAAATGTCAGTGTTACTGTTTGTTTTAATGAGCAGAATTCTCCCACTGAAACAATGCAGAAAGTTGTCCAGTTTCTTCCTCAGTAAAAGCAGCTTGCCTCATTTGGAAATGGTATGTTTATCCCCATCGATTTCCAAAAAGACTCCTTGTTTCACTGCCCCAGTTAGCTGAGACAGCAGTTGGTTAGGAATGGTGTCCCATTCCACTAGAGAAGCAGGTCCTGCTAACTGCCCTTCTCTCCCCTTTTGTTACTGGCAGGTGCTCGATGACAAGCATTTCGGAGCCAGGGCAAGGAAAGAATGCTCCAGAGATGACCTGTTGCTCCCATCTCTTCCTGCTCCATTTATATCTGGGTGAAATATTTGCCCTTGGTTACGTGCTGTTTCCCACTCTGAGTCATGTCGCTTCCTTTTCTCATCACTCTCCACCCCTACCTTTTCCTATAAAGGCAAAACGACTTCTCCAGCTGCCCAGCCAGGCTGAATGACCTAACACATCTAAGTGCAGACAGATAGGTGTCTGGCCTATTTTGGGAGTTATTGGAGAGGTGTCCTCCGATTTCTCTGCTGCACGGTCTTTTTTCTTCGCCTCCGATGCATTGCAACATGAAGCAAGGTGGAAGACACAGATGGTCACAAACTGTATCTAAGTTTTTATTTTTGCATATGTTCTTCTGCTTGGTTTTGGGGGCATATTGATCTTTAGCAGAGTCTTCCAGGGATTTTTCTTTTTTCTGTGTGTGTGGGTGGGGGCAGGAGAAGGGTGGGGGTTGGAGGTACATCCAGCAGTGCTCAGGGCTTACTCCTGGATCTGAGCTCAGAGATGACTCCTAGGGGTGCTTGTGGCCTATATGGGATGCTGGGGATGGAGCCCGAGTTAGACTCCTGAAAAGCAGTGTTCTAACTACTGTACTATCACTCCAGCCCCAAGGACTTTTTCATTTAATAAGATATAAGAAACTTTAAAGACTTAATAAAAAAGTCTTTGGTTGATTTCATTTGCCCACTACCTTCCTAACCCACCTTTTCCATTGCTTTCTTCTCTAGGGGTTTGGGTTACATTTTCAAAAGTAAAGTTGTGAAGGGTAAAGATGGTGTTATTGGAACTTCTTTTTTATCCTGACTTCCACTTTGGTGACACATTTTAATTAATATGGGACTTAGCTTAAGAGCTTTATGCTTGGGTTCTCTCACTTAGTTTCAGTTTGCCCTTCTCAGCTTCTGTCCAGACTGGCGTATTAGATGAATGCTAATAGACTGATGTTACCCCTAGAGTATTTTTCACTTAAACATCAAGTTGTAAGGTTTTACTGGTGGCATTTCAGATATTATCCAAAGAAAGGAGCTGAACAGTGGGCATAAACTTCTTTTAAAATAGAATAGGATGCCATTGGAATGATTTGATTATGGAAGGTCAACTTATTTTTACTCTCGTCTTCTCCAGCCTTCTTTAATTCTTTCTGTTATATTACACACATATGTATCTTGAATAAAATACACCAAATCCTGATTTGGATAAATTACATTAGCTTCCGTGATTTCTCTTTGAAACTGTATCTACTTTTTTAAAAAATTATTTAAATAATTGTAATCTCAAAAACTTATTAAACTCTTGCTGTCTTAAACATTCTAAAATGACATTCTAACATTCTAAAATGTTGCAAGCTAAAGAAATGAACTTGTTTATTAAATTTCTCTATTATGCTATTTAACATTATCCTGGGATTCAAATGAAACAATATATTGGGACTCCTTTTAAATGCTATTTTAAAAAAGTACTCAAGGCCTCGGAGAGCCCGGCAAGCTACCGAGAGTATTCGATATGCCAGACACAGTAACAACAAAGTCTCCAAGGGAGACGTTACTGGGCCCGCTCGAGCAAATCGACGATCAACGGGAGGGCCTTTACCTTTACCTTTTACTCAAGGCCTCAGTATTATAAAGATCAAAATGGGGAATTGTTTCATATAAGAGTATTGAGAATAAAGACAAGTTTAACCCCAAAGGTGAACATGATATGCTTTACATTCATATAAATCTTCCCAACTAACTTATTTATGTGTGAGAAAACATTGAAGAGAAAAATTTGATGAAAATCAGTGCATTTCAAATCCCTCTGCTCAACAAAGAAAATTATAAAGTCTAAATGTGATTCCCACTACAGCTCTACAGTCGTCCCAAGATTTTATTAATCATTTGTTTAATCATTCACTCAGAAGATATTGATTGAACTTAAAATGCTGGGCAACATTTCAGAATTTCAGGGAGCCAGATACAAGTTAAGTTTTTGGTTCCAGATACCTGACTAGTGAAAACTAACTAATGCAGTTAGTTATCAGGCTTGGTCTGACCATAAGCTAACTGCCAAGAGAGGTTGACAAAATATTTGATATGTGTAGTTTTGGGAACATGAATGCTTAGACCTGTTGTGAGGGACGCATGTTCCTGTTAGAGAGGCCAGGAGAGAGCCAGAGACCAAAGAGCAGCAGAGAACTTCAAAGAAGGCTGTAGGTAGCAATCACTGAAGGTGGTAAAGGGATCATCCATTTAAGAGTGAAAGTGAATGCATTAAATGACTGTGTTTTTAGCACAGCAGTCCTCTAATTGATAGAAAATTCATGACTTAAAAAATTTTTGAACTTGTTTTTTTCCACTCTGGAGAAGCCAGTGTTATCTCTTGAATTTGTATTTTTTCCCTACCCTTACACTACTCTAAGTAAATTTCTTTGAATAAAAACTATTTTACTGGGGATGGAGTGATAGCACAGAGGGTAGGGCTTTTGCCTTTCACGCGGCTGACCCAGGTTCGATTTACAGCATCCCTGAGCACCGCCAGGAGTAATTCCTGAGTGCAGAGCCAGGAATGACCCCTGTGCATCGCCAGGTGTGACCCAAAAAGAAAAAAAAAATTACTTCACTGAAAAGAAAAAAAATTCTTAGGCTTAACCACAAGAATGATTTGTAGATATACAACCAAGTCCTTAGACTCTTGATTTCACAGAAGAGAATGAGATGGGAATTTCCAGAGAGAAAATTGAATTTTCTATCAATTAGAGGACTGCTGTGCTAAAAACACAGTGATTCAATGCATACACTTTCACTCTTAAATGGATGATTCCTTTGCCACCTTCAGTCTAATTCTTTCATTAAAGATTAGAGACAACAATGAAACACCAGAGACAAAGGTAAAATGATGGGAGGATTTAACAGTGCTTCAAAAATGGTACTGCTTAAGGGGCTAGAGAAATAATATAGTGGGTAGCATGTGGCTGATCTGGGTTTGATCCCTAGCACCCTGAATGGTTCCCTGAGCTTACCTGGAGTATAAACCTCCAGCGTGATGTGTCCCTCCCTCCGCCCTCACCCCCTCTGCTTCCCGCTACCAAATGGCACTGAAGAAATGAATCCAGATCCAGAGTTCTCATTCCATTCCGAAAGTTTTTCAAGAAACTCACCTAAATAAATCAATGTCACATATAACTATTGTGAAGAAAAACTTAAAGTTCTTTAAAACTATAAAGGTAAAAGGTAAAGGTAAAGGCCCTCCCGTTGATCGTCGATTTGCTCGAGCGGGCCCAGTAACGTCTCCATTGGAGACTTTGTTGTTACTGTGTCTGGCATATCGAATACTCTCGGTAGCTTGCCGGGCTCTCCAAGAGGGGCGGAGGAATCGAACTCGGGTCAACCATGTTGGCCGCTTGTAAGGCGAACGCCCTACCCGCTGTGCTATCGCTCCAGCTGGAGTGAAAACTATAAAGAACACTTAAAAAAGCCAAACTCTTGATTTATTATGAGAGGTTGGTCATCTCTCCATACTATGCCAGTATCAGCAAGGACTGCTCACAGATGCACTTTCCAAAAATAATTTTGAACTCTGGCCTGACTTCATGGTAATAGTATCCTAATAAATATGATTTATATTGTTTTACTTTTTTATTTAAAAAATTGAAAACAGAAGTATCAGTTTATTTAGGATGGATAAGAAGAAAATTTATTTCATAGAGAGAAGAAGTGTGGAAGTTTTCTGAATAAGGCATTCCACCAAATGACAGATGTACCTCTTTAAGTTATGGGCAAAGAAAAATTAAATTATCAATCTCATATTTCTTTATAAATGATTTCATGAATAAGAACACATATTATTATAACTTTATTGACCATTTTGAAATTTAATGTAACAAAAACAATGAACACAGTTATAAGCTTTTAAAAGGTTTATTATGAATATTGAGAAAGCTTCCTCATCATTTCTCTCCTCCCAAATTAAGAATTAACATGTTTACACATGAAATCTGAATCCACTGTTACAAAATTTCAGCCTTTGAAAGAAAATAACTATTAATTACCCAAATAAAATTTATTCTAAAAGTAATCAGCTATTCAGAAAAAATAAAATCATATATATCACTTGTTAAAAATTAATGGATTTTGTTATATAACTATATATTATAAAAATATTTTTCATTTAAAACTTACCAATATTCTTTTAAAGATAGAAGTCTATGATTTATTTAGTGACATCTTATTAATCAAACACATTTTCTACTCAATATATCTGAATATTTAAAACACTTTGGTAGAGGGCATAATTATAAAAGGATGACTCATTGACCTTTTAAACTAACCTAATAAATCTATGCAGTTAAATGAGTGATGATACTTTAAGGGAATGATGATCAGATAATGATTTTTCTATGATCGTCTAGATCGATTTTGAAAAGTCTCTTTTGCAGCTACCTTCAAAATGATGAGTTTCATAATTTAATCATTCATTTGCTTTGGTCCCCAGTAGTATTCCAGTTCATTCATCTTTTACATTTACCAGCCCTGCCAATCTAGAAAAATAAATGACCCTCATTGAATGAAGATTTGTAATCTATTAAGATATTTAAGGGAATGTCAATTCACATTCTGATAGGAATACTGGAATTTGAATTTGAACATTTATACTCTTTTTATGTTGTATGAATTATAGTAACAACACATATCAGAGACATTAGAAGACAAAGAAGTGAGTCCTAACACTGAAAGTAGAACCTGATATTCAAAATAAGGACAATTTTAACTATGTAACTAAATCCATGTTAGTATCTTGTAATTTTATAGCTGCAAACTTTTAAGCTATGCATGTAGCTCAGCAGCATGAACCCAACAATTTGACAAATATCGAGTCATTTTAGATGAAATTATACTTTAAGTGTCAGAAATAGCCTTTAACCATTAAATGTTACTGAACAGCACTAGCATTACTTGAAGGTAGGGTAAAACATTAGTAAGAATGCAAAATATAGTTTTAATTTCTAATAAAAAGAGAAAAAAATTACCGGGACAAATATATCAGTTAGAGTTTGGATTACTGTAAGATCATACTATCTTATGATAAAAAATATTTCAGGATTTTGCTTGGAAACATTAGTGAGATAATGCTTATAGTTTGTCCTTTTACATTCAATTTCTAAAGAAAATACATCTGCATAATCAAGACAGTGCAATTTCACCAATGAAGCTTTATATGGAAGATACATTTACTCACACCATATATTAATTTAACAAGATAACAAATACAATAAAAGTGCTTTAAAGCAATATGGTTAGAGCAACATTTACATAAAGTACAAAATATACAGTAAAATGAAACACTTTGTTAAATAGACTTGTTGGTTAACAATGCCTTAAAGAAACTTATTTTCACAAATCTCTTTTCACATTTGTTTTACTGATAGCCCCATAAAACCACTGGATACTCTGATACTGTAATTTCTACGATCTTTGTACATCTTATCTCTAAGAATTGCTATGACTTTACCAGCAAAGGTAATTTTAAAAACATTCTTTGCGACATAAAAAGTACTAAGAAACCTCAGGCTTTTATAGCAATTGTGAGCAACACTATTATATTATCTGAGGAAAATGTCCCTTGTTATTATAAGTTCATCATTATAAAATATATCCTTTTGTACTAAAGCAAAAACGGCCTTTAAAATTAAGTGTTGCCAACCTACTGTTTAATTGTGGTTACGAAGTTAGATATAAAAAGGTCTGTCAATAATTGCAACTAAACGTAGTTGGCCACTTTAATAGTTTTCTTAATTAGAACAGTGGGGGTTGGGGGACTGAAGAGAACAGTAGTGCTTTTATATGACAACAACAAATAACAGTCTCCAAATCACCAGACCTGGGGTCCCCGTGTTCAGTCATGGCTCAGCTGCAGATTGACAGAAGAGAAGCTCCGTCCTACGCTTGCACACAAAGGGGCAATGACAACATCTGTCACACTCCTCCATATTGTCTGCACGGAAGGTAGGACCATTAGGCAGGTCTTTACAAAAGGCATTAAAATCCTGGAATTGAGGAAGAGAGGGATGGAAGAAAAATCTATGTTGATAAGTCCACTGACTCTTGCATATGTATGAAAGGTATAATAGCCGATTTTATTTACCTTTGGTAAAAGATCTGAAACAAATATGCAATGAACCATATAGTGAAAAGATATGAAGAAGGTATATTGCTTAAAAAATAGACATAACTACTAATGGTGTGTGGTATTTGAATCAGTAAAACAAAAATAAACAACAAATTTATCTACCTGATCTGTCCCTAAACATTAACCTGCTTAATTCTTTATTCCTGAGTTGCTTCCTGATAGCTTTTCCTGTTGCCTCATTCCACTTCCTTTCCACTTGGGTCAGGTTGTGTACCGATGTTTTTGTGCTTTTTGAAGTACTAGAACAAACTCTTGGATCTTCAAATCTATCAGAAAGCATCATGTATTATAAATGTATCAGAGATGCTTATATTTCTCTGAGAAAACTCTTGACCATTAGAAAATGTTTGAGCTTAAGTGAATTTGGCATTGTTATGCTTTACATGTTATTAATTTTTCATAGCAATTATAAACAGTGAACAGGGCTGTGTGCTATAGTTATAAGAATTCTGCAATTATGTCTTACTATTAGGCAAGAAAAACTAGACTCTCCTGAAATTATTTTTTTTCCTGTATGTCTTTCTTAAGATAATTGCATATTTTCATAATACCAGGCTGGTTAGCTGTTTATACGTAATCCTTTGAATAACACTGTCTATTGTAATAATGTTTCAGAGTATAAAAATATTGTCAAGCATTACTGATTGACTCAATTACTTAGATGGACATAAAGAAGTAAGTTTATTTTCTTGGTTTGCTATTAAAATACAATTCACACAAAGGTCTTGTCCAACATGAAAAAGATCTGACAACTGTCTGACTGAGATATTTTTAGAATACTGAATTATTCATATTGACTGTCTACACAGATTATGTTAATCTTGTGTTCTCTTCCAAGTGCTAAAGGCTTGAAATAGTGCTTAAAGAAATTTTATTATGGAATATTCTGGACCTGAATCATTGAATAGAAAACCTGAATGAAAGCAACTTTTACCTTCTTGTCCCTTTACGTTTACATTTCTCATTTGATGTGTGGACAAATGCATACTACTGCAAGTGTTCAAGGAAGAACAAGAATTCCTTACTTATTGGCTAAATTACTACCTAGTCTGTACCTTTGTAATGTGCATATGATGCTGCATTAAATTGAATAATAGGACTATTTTGAAGTTAGATTACATAATAAAAACAATTATAACAGAACACTCTCAAATTGATGTATTGGAAGATTGAGGTTTAGATCGGAAATCTTCTTAACCAAATCAACTTTACTGAGAATACAGTGCACGTTTCACTTTTTCTTTGGCTAAGAAAAATTCAATCCTCATCACTTCTTAGATCTTCATGTCATGAAAGGGAATTAAACATAGGATGAAGTTCGGTAAAGTGTGGTTGCCCAGATTTGAGGCCTTCAAGTTTCCCCTAAGCTGTAAATTCATTTCCATTTTATTTTCTTTAACTTGTTCTTTCACTCTTTCACTGCACGTCAGAGGATTCAGTGGTCCTTTGATACCAAAAAATTTGTGTTCTCAACATGCCAATTCACTTTCCTTTTGAAAGTCTTAGCACTTAGAAAGTGCTTCAAATTTTGGCTGAGGCTCAATGTGGTTCAACCAGATACTTCTTAACATGTCTTATAATTTATAAGGTCATACATTTATCCACTGGTTCATAAAAGCTTTTGGACACAGACATTTGTTTTCTATGAACTATGCAGTGTCATTCAGATTATGTCACATAGCATTTTGCTTTATTAAAAAATCTGGGAAACAGGCTGCCATATTGCATTTCTGTCATTTGAACCAATGAATTCCATCCTACCACAAATAAGGAATAGGGGAACTTTGGTCATATTTCTTAGGTATAATCCACCTATAGCAATATCTTGATTTATTTTGGGTGTTTGATGATTATAGTTGTTTAAAGAATAAATGACACTCACCTACTGCCAAGGAAGGCAGTAAGAAGAGAAGGAGGAGGAAACTGGTTTGCTGATCTATAAGATTTTTCCTTACTCTCACTAATTGGCGCAGAGGAATATTTTCCCAAAGTATAAACTTGGTAAGCTCTGGTTTACTCTAAGTGGGTCAGCATTGTCCTCCCATTGTTCATCGATTTGCTCGAGCAGGCCCAGTAATGTCTCCATTGTGAGACTTCTTGTCACTGTTTTTTTTTTTTTGGCATATCAAATATGTCACAGATAGCTTGCTAGGCTTTGCTGTGCGGGCAGAATATTCTCGGAACTTGCTGGGCTTTCCGAGAGGCGTGGAGGAATCGAACCTGGGTCAGCTGCATGAAAGGAAAATGCCCTACCCGCTATGCTACCACTCCGGCCCACTTTAAGTGGGTGTAAAACAGTTTTTATTTGCAGTTTTAATTTTACTTGTAATCTCAGTTGCCTGATAACAAATGTGTGGTAGTTAAATATCAATGGCCCATATGAATGTAATTTGAAAAACAAGCTGAAGTTGAACAATATATTTTATGTAGCTGAAAATGAAGCAGTTTGATGATTCACCACTGAATGCACTACACACACACACACACACACACACACACACACACACACACACACATGCTTCCTATTTTCAGGAATGCCAGATAGAGAGAAGTTTCATTTGGTTAACTGTAGTTTTGCTTATGCCTTTCAATCATTTAATAAATGAAAGCTTCCCTCTGCCCCCAATTCCTCCACAAGAACTATAGGAAAAACCCACGTTTCTTGAGTATAAATTCGGCACTGTATTTCCAAATGGTAAGCATTTCATAATATTCTCTGTGGTCATTTAGTTCTCTGCTCTTTTGAAGTGAGAAATGGGCATAGAGGTTAGATTATTAGTTTCAGTTAACTGGAATCCAAAACTAGAGCTAATAACTTATGTATCTTATTTAAAAATCCATGAGCTAGTGTCAACCATGTGTAAACTGTCCAGCCTTGTTGGCTCTGTTCTTGTATAACAGTAAAGATTTTCATTTCTCTGGCAGTCTTTTGGCATATTCAACATGGCTAATTTGTTTACACTCTTGAGTAATCAAATAAAATCAGTGTTCTTATTCCTTTACTTGTTGAATTTTATTTGAAACTTTAAGACTCTTTTTTGACTCTTTTTCTCTCTATAAAGCCTGCCTAGTGCCTCCCTTCTAAACAGACTTACCTAAAATTTCTTTGGCTTCTCTTTTACCAAGCCAACTTGTATACTCAATACACTTTAAAACTAGCTAAATGTAGATCCTACATCTAATTCATCCTGGACCAATGCTTAGCACAAACAAAACACTCAATATCAATAAATTGTCTTGGTGGAACTAATAACCAAGCTAACTGACTAGAGAAATTGATTCTCCCAGTACAGGGGAATGGAGAATAATGTAAGTTCTAATAATGAACACAGCCAGGATTAGGTGGGGCAATACTGTGTAAGTGATAGAGAAAGACATGGAAGCACCTGGGTTAAGGGTATCATCAGGGTCGTGGCCAAGCACAAACAGACAACTGCTGCCTTACAGGGGATACTCAGAATGCTCCTATTTGCAGAAGAAAGTGGTGTTTTAACACAATGTCACTTGTTTGAAAAGTGAAATATGTTCCTCAACTTTTTGTTTAAAGTTAAAAAATATTCTCCAAAGGTTTATGATACGTTTTGAGTGTACTAAAAACACCCTCCCAAAGCCCGATAAGTATCTATCCTGTTCCCTTAACTCCATGTCAGACCTCTCTTGGCCTCACAGGGGAAGTAGGAATCTGGAGGCCTATCATACTGTGCTGTAGCTTGAGTTTTCATTCATTTGTACTGAGGGCCCTCACCAGTACCCTCACACCTGGCAACACCTCTGGCTCCATCCTTGCCGTTTGCCAGGGGGAGGCCTGGACCATTCCATCCTTGGCTCCACCGAACCTGGTCTGACATCCCTGGCCAATTCTATTGTCGCTGGCATTGTGCTCAAAGATCGCTTTTGTTTTACCCCCAGCACAGGTGGTGACTGAATAGAGGACGATGAAAGCAAACAGGAGCCCTGCCCAGAACCACAGGCACAAGTCCCGACAAGGCTTGCAGTGAGCCGGGCCTGTGGCAGGAAGCATGGCCCTGGGCTGTCCACCTCCGCAGTCAGCTGGGCCTCACCGGCCCACGGAAAACCATGACCTAGGTCAGAGGCACATTCCTTTTTGTTTTACACTCTCTTTTACCTCCTCAGCCCAACCTATGATTTGATGCAAAGAACGTTGCCTCCATACAAAGAATGTTGTCCTCTCCTCCCCCTACCAAGTCTTGCAGCTGTGTTAGAGGTGCCACCCACCGCCCACCCCCCCACCCCCACCAGATCCCGCCCCCCTACCCTACCCCCCCCCCCCCCCCCCCCAACAAGCTTGTTCTGGCAGAAAGGTGAGGGCAGAGGGCAGAGGACAGAGGACATTCCGAAGCTGAAAGCCCAGTTCCCACTCTTTCTCACCAGATGTGCAGACAGCTGAGGGTGGCCAAGAGCACTCCCGCGGCGAAGGCCAGGGGGATGGCCAGGAACAGGGTCAGGAACTTGTAGAGCACGTACTTGCTGACTTCGAACAGGGCATGACTGCACACCCAGACTTTGTCAAAGGAGTGAGTGGTGGCAGGCTCGGCGATCACATCCTCGAAACCCACCTGCCGAGACACAGGCCTGGGCACTGTCACCCCACTTGCCCGCCCCTGGGAGCCCGGGGACTTGGGGTGTCTGGGGACGGGACAGTGGGGGAGGGGATGGCTAGGAGACGGGGGGGGGGTGGTGGTTGCGATGGGAGGCGGGAGAGAGCAAGAAGGAAGCACTTGAACTGGAGGGCCCTACTCCGAGGGTCACACGGGGCACGCAGGCATTTGGCCGAGTGACAGGCGGGCTCCGGGGAGGGCGGATTCCGGGACCCAGACCCCGCGGGGCTGGGAGCTGGCGCGGCAGCGACGGCGTGGAGGAGGGCACACAGCCGCACCCCGGGGCACCCCCGCAACCACCGCCCCCCCTCCACCACACCCCAGCCCCGCCGTCCCGCGCGCCCGGCCGTTTCACCTTGAGCTCCGAGTTGAGCCGGTGCGGATCCCGATCGGGGCCCGGCTCCGGGAACTTCTCCGGGTCGGCGTAGTCGACGCCGCTGTGGCGGCTGTAGGCGTCGTCGTCCATGAAGAGCTGCACGTCGGCCTTCTCGGTCTCCAGCCCCATCGCGGCGCCCGGCGCGCTCAGGCTGCGGCGCGGCTCCCCGGCCCGGCGGCCGCCCCTTCCCGTGGCGCGCGGCCCCGCCCCGCCGCGCCTCGCCTCGCCTCGCCCCGCGCCGCCCGGGCGGCGGCCGCTGCTTCTCGGGCCCGCCGAGCCCCGCCCCGGGCCGGCTAGAAGTGAGTGGGGGTCCTACTCCCCCCTCTCCGAGGCTTCTTGACCCGGGGCCCGGCCGCCCTCCCCGACCGGGAGCGCGGGGAATCCGCTTCCACCCCGCACCGGTGTCCCGCGCACGCCTCTGCTGCGCTACAGGGTCGGATGCGCAGGGACTGAGATGCTTCAGCGCGGGTCCTGGTGGTCCAGGGATGCCGGCTCCCCTCGGGGGTAGGAGCGCGAGCGTGGCGTCAAAGGGTCAGTCTCCAGGGGCCCAGAGTGATAGGACAGCGGGTAAGGGGCTGACCCAGGTTCAATCCCTGGCATCCCATATGGTCCCCCCACAGAGCTCACTCAGGAGTGATCCCTGAGCTCAGGGTCCAGGAGGAAACCCTGAGCACCGCTGGATGTGGTCCCCAAAACAAAACAAACAAACACACACACAGGATCTGTCTTCACTTCCTGCCTCCAAAGTGTAAACTCTGTTTGGTGGCCAATGGAGAGACAGGTGCTGCCCCCCAGAAGAGGGGCTTCATGGACACCTCAGCAAAAAGAGGGCCATGAGAATGAAATGAATTAAATCCACTGAAAACTCTTACATTGTGCCCACCATTCAGTCTGTTTCCCCATGCTGCAGACTCCTTGTGAGATAAAAACAAAAACAAAAACAAAAAAACGCACAACAGATCTGATTTCCAGGCCACCCTCCAAGTGCATGCTAGGGTTCTAACTATCTCATCAAAGTGGAGTCCAGTAGGAACCTCTGTCCTTAGAAAGTTGCATTCTAAGACTCCACAATTCATCACACTGTTAACAGAATGTATTATTTCAATTATTATTATTCCTTTATTATCTCAATTATTACTCTATTGAGAGAGTTTATTACCTCACTGAAAGAGTTTAGAAATCTCTAAGATGCAGACATGTCCCTAAGGACCTTGTAGAAATCACGTTAGCAAGCCTCCCTAGCATAAAGCTCCACTCCCTGAGATGAACTAGTTTGCTGCCTACTGACACACACTGTTCACAAAATAAGTTAGCATATTCATAAAAGATTAAAGCTCTAATGGTTTTAGACTCATGTTTTGAGAGATGAAAAGGACTTAGTGGAAATTTGCCCAAAGCAAATTAGACTAGAGGCACTCCTGCAGCTTGCCTCAGAGGCTAAGCTCTAGCTAGCATGGAAGATGTACTGCTGAATGTGTGTGTTTAGAGCTCATGCATATATCAAATCCTGTTGTGTGAAATGACTGTGAAGAAATACTTCCTACAAACATTTATGTGGGAAACAATAAATTTATACATGCACACGCACATACACAAAAACAGGATCTGAATTGGAAAAAATATTTTGGAACTCTAATTTGATGTCTCTAATTAGAAGTTGGCTCCTTCTGGGTACGGACCAGGTACCACATTGTAGAGTGTCATGTGCTTGAATCTCATACATACTTCTGTACTCCTCTCCCAGAGATAATTCTTTCTTAATGTTAGGGGCCTCCTCTTTAAGCAGGTATGCAGGTGATTTGGGGCCACTGAGTTTTATATTCGTAAATGAACAGTTCAATGCCCAGATCCAGTGGTGCTCAGAGACTTCCAGTCCACAACCATAGTGTGTGTGTGTGTGTGTGTGTATGTGTGTGTGTCTGCGAGTGTACGTGCATGTGGGAGAGGTGTTTTTGAGGTCCTGGGAATCAAACTTATGTCCTGTGGAACAGGAGAGAGAGATATATCCCTGACATCCCATAAATTTCTGGGAGTAATACCTGAGCACAGAGTAGGGAGTAAATCCTGAACACTACTTAGTATGGACCCAAAATGAAACAAAAAAATAAATAAAAAACATGTGCATGCGTTCATCCCAACACTGATCCCTGAACTATCTCTGTGGCCTCTTCTTTCCTGCTTTTTTGCCACACCCAGATGCTTGTTGAGGTCACTCTTGGTGGTGTTGAGGGGACCAGGTAGGGCTCAGAATCAAATCTGTGTCTCGTACAGGTGAAGTCTGAGCTCCAGTACTTTGAACTATCTCCCTGGCCCTTGTTTCCCATAAAGTGATGACTTCGACATCATCCTTAGGCCTGTTTTCTGCACATCTATGCCTCTTCCTTTCATCTATGTACGGTGTACTCTGGGAGTTGGGACTCTTTTGGAGTAGCTATAGTTTATCAAAGTGAATAGAAGGAATTAAAAGTCCCTAAGGAAACCTCCAATGCCAATGACCAGAAGAAAGGGAGATAACTACATGACATCTTGTCAAAATAAAGTTTTCTCCAAATTATCATTCCAGATTTCAGAATGATTTCTTTCTTATCCAGGAAGATTTCTTTCTTATCCAGAAAGAAAATCATTTCCATAGCATTAGAGGATGGTAAACGTTTTCAGTGGCTGAAAATCTAGCAACAACTGAGCTTCTTTATTCATATTTCTTTGTCCTCTTATACATTTACATTTCCAAATGGAATTAGTGGAACACTTGCTATTTGCTCAAGTTATTACAAGAAACTGACTTCTTTTTTTCAGGTTGCAGGACTAGAGACAGAGAGAGAGAGAGAGAGAGAGAGAGAGAGAGAGAGAGAGAGAGAGAGAGAGAGAGACTAACATGGTCTTAATGGGCAGTTCAGATCATAAAATCATATCCAGGATGCTATTTTTTAATAAAAAACTTTCTCTAAAATTTTTTAAAAGAAATACATTTAGATTCCTTATATTAGCATATAGCATAAAAAGAAGAGACTTCCTCCTTTTCCGATATATTTTTCAATTTATAAATTCTTACTGATTGACACCCCCCTCTTTGGTTTGGGACTGTGGGTGACTTTTATTTTAATTAAGTTCTTCTTTATACCACCATTTCAATATATAAGATTTTTTGAGAGGAACCATAAAATTGATTATTTTGCTTTTCCTATTAGCATAGTACTGTAGCACTGTCCTCCATTGTTCATCGATTTGCTCCAGTGGGCACCAGTAACACCTCCACTGTGACACCTCACTTGTTACTTTTTTGGCATATCAAATACACCACGGGGAGCTTGCCAGGCTCTCCAAGAGAGGAATAGAGGAATCTCCTATTAGTGTATTCTTAGAAATTATAAGCTACAGTTTTCAAGAAGTTTTTTTTTTTGGCTTTGTATTTTGAACTATACCTGTCTGTGCTCAGGAGTTACTCCTGTCTCTGTGTTCAGCGATCACTCCAAGTGAGGCCCTCTGGATCAGCCTTGTACAAGGCAAGTTCCCCACCTCCTCTACTATCTCTTCTACCCCCCTCAAGGAGTTTCTACCACAAGGAGTTGATTACCACAACAAATCGTATACTTTCCTTATCAACTAGCGGAGAGATGTACCAGGAAAGGGAGAAGGTGAATGGAGATATGGGGAACACATCAGTAGTTTAGAGATCATAAAACTCTTTCTAGTCCACTTTCTTTAACTTTACAAATTGTCCCATTAAAGGGAGCCAAAAACATTTCTTAGAAAATGCACCCCATTGTATTCATCTTCTGGCAGTTATCAAAGCTTCCAAGTGTTCTGTGGGGATTCAAAATTTCCTTTCTCTGGATTGAGAATCCCTGGGTATGACATTGTCAAAAACTGTTTTTGTGTTTATGGGAAAAGTTAAGCGCTTTGTGTTCAATCACAAACCACGCTTATGACCAATTTTAGTTGTATGGTTTTCATATACACTTTGGATATTATTCCCTGTCAAATATAGGATGTGTCGGTAAACACAACTATTTTCTACCAATTGGTTACATTTTTATTTTTATGGTAGTTTTTTGGTTTTCTTAGAAAGTGATCATTTACTTTTTTAGTTTAATGTAGTCTGAATGGTTTAGTTTTACTTTCATTTCCCTTGCCATTGGCGACTAGTCTCCCCAAACTTGTAAGGCTGGTATCAGGGAGAATATCACGTATGCTTTCTTCTATATGAATTTTGTGGTTTCAGACCTTACATTTGAGTCCTAATTCACTGAGTTACTCTTTTTTAAATAACGAATCATATCAGATAGAGATTTAGCCTCATACGTATGCATCTGGCAATCCAGTTTTCTAAACACTTCTTGAATAGACTTTATTCAGTTGTATGTTCTTGGGGTTTTTTTTTGTTGTTGTTGTGCATTAACTGTACATAATAAGGGTGATCTCACAATTCTATTTTAGCAGTTGCATATTTGTCTTAGTTTTAATACCATGCTGTTTTTATTTCTATTTCTTTGTAGGATGGTTTGAATTGGGGACCATAATACCGCCATTTTCTTTTTTTTCTCAGTATTCTTCTAGCTGGGCTGGAGCAATAGCACAGTGGGTAGGGCATTTGCCTTGCAAGTGGTCGACCCTGATTTGATTCCTCCGTCCCTCTCGAAGAGCCCGACAAGCTACTGAGAGTATCGTGCCCACACAGCAGAGTCTGGCAAGCTCCCCATGGAGTATTCGATATGCCAAAAACAGTAACAAGTCTCACAATGGAGACGTTACTGGTACCCACTTTAGCAAATTGATGAACAATGGGAGGACAGTGTTACAGTGCTATTCTTCTAGCTACTTGGGATAACATACACATTTTATTTTATTAAAGTAAAATTTTATTCATTTATTCATTGGTCTGAATGGTGAACATTGGGAGAACAACACTATATGCATAAAAACCACACCATCATTACCCCTGAAGTTCTAGTTATCATACTATTAAAATGGTTGACTCTGCCCATTCCTTCCTTCTCTTTCCTCTTTCCGTCTGGTAATCATAATATTTTTCAGAACCTACGGGTTATTTTTGTTGAGTTTTGCTAGTTTTTAGTTATTTATATCCTATTTTTAAATGAGTAAATTCATCTTCCATTTTTCTGACTTTTTTTTCTCTTAGCATCATCACCTCAGGTTCCTTCTCTGTTATCAAAAAGGTATGTTTTTTACCTGAATGTAGTAGCTGG